TCAAGCTACTCACCTGTACACTCAAGCTACACACGTCTACATTCAGGCTACGTTTACACTCAAGCTACACACGTGTACACTCAAGTTACCCACGTGTACACTCAAGCTACAGACGTGTCCACTGAAGCTATTCACGTGTACCTCAAGCTACACAAGTGTAAACTCAAGCTACGTTTACACTCAAGCTACTCACGTATACACGCCAGTTACTCACGTGTACAATCAAGTTACACACGTGTACACTCAAGCTATGTTTTACACTCAAGCAACACACGTGTACTCTCAAAAGCTGCTCTCATGTACACCCAAGCTGCACACATGTACACGCAAGCTACTCATGTGTACACTCAAACCACACACGTGTACACTCAAGATTCATTTACACTCAAGCTACTCACATGTACACTCAAGCTATTCACATTTACACTCAAGCTACTCACATTTATACTCAAGTTACTTACATATACACTCAAGGTACTCACGTGTACACTCAAGCTGCACACATGTCCACTCGAGCTACTCACGTGTACGCTCAAACCACACGTGTACACTCAAGTTTCATTTACACTCAAGCTTCTCTCTTTTACACTCAAGCTACTCACGTGTACACTCAAGCTGCTCACGTGTACACTCAAGCTACTCACATGTACACTCAAGCTACAAACGTGTACCCTCAAGCTACTCATCTGTACACTCAAGGTACACAAGTGTACAGTCAAGCTACAACTGTGCACATTCAAGCTACACACGTGTACACTCAAGCTACGTTTACACTCAAGCTACAAACGTTTACACTCAAGCTACACACGTGTAGACTTCAAGCTACACACGTGTTCATTCAAGCTGCACACGTGTACACTCAAGCTAGTCACGTTTTCACTTAATCTACTCACGTCTACGCTCAAGCTACACACGCATACACTCAATCTCTCACATTTACACTCAAGCTACATACGTGTACGCTCAAGCTTATCCCGTATATACTCTAGCTACACACGTGTACGCTCGTCCTACCCACGTTGACACACAAGCTACTCACGTGTACACTCAAGCTACTCACGTGTACACTCAATCTACGTACATGTATACTCAACCTACACACGTGTTCTCTCAAGCTACGTACATGTATACTCAAGCTACTCACGTGTACACTCAAGCTACTCACGTGTACACTCAAGCTATGTACATGTATACTCAAGCTACTCACGTTTTCATTCAATCTACTCACTTCTACGCTCAAGCTACACACGTATACACTCAATCTCTCACATTTACTCTCAAGCTACATACTTGTACACTCAAGCTACACACGTATACACTCAAGCTACACATGTGTACACTCAAGCTACACACGTGTACACTCTAGTTACGTTTACACTCAAGCTACAAACGTGTACACTCAAGCTACACACGTTTACACTCAGGCTACGTTTACACTCAACCTACACACGTGTACACTCGAGCTACCCACTTGTACACTCAAGCTACTCACGTGTACACTCAAGCTACACACGTGTACACTCAAGCTACGTTTACACTCAAGCTACACTCGTGTACACTCACACTCACTACGTTTACACTCACGTTTCCCACATCTACACTCAGGATACTCACATGTACACTCAAGCTACTCACTTGTTCACTCAAACTATACACGTGTACACTGAATTTGTTCACGTGTACACTCAACCTACACACGTGTACACTCAAGCTACTCACATGTACACTGAAGCTACACACATGTACACTCAAGCTATTCACATTTACACTCAAGCTACTCACATTTATACTCAAGTTACTTACATATACACTCAAGGTACTCACGTGTACACTCAAGCTAACATGTACACTCAAGCTACTCACATGTACACTCAAGCTACTCCCGTGTACACTTAACCTACCCACGTTTACACATTAGCTACTCACCTGTACACTCAAGCTACTCACGTGTACATTTAAGCTATATATAAAGGTCAGAATAGGACTTTCAGGCGCTTTTTTCCCCTCGATTCATAGCATGTCAGGCTTAACAGCACTTCGTATTATCAATCTCAACTACTTGGGAGAACATACAACTCTTGCAGCTAGTAGGTGCACCGAGTTAATGTGGCTTTTCCATCCTTCCGAGGTACCCATTCACAGCTGTGTGGATTCGGACACATAGTCATATTACTTTGTCCAAGTTTACTGTACGTTGTTGTATCCACGACTAGGTATTTGCATGCATTAATGTGGCCACGTTCTTATCATATACCAACGGATTCGTGGGTTCTTTTAAGTGCTCTGTACACTAGGGGTTGTGGCAACACAGAAAGAGTCTGCACACAAAGTTGACTCCAAGGTTTTTAACACCCACCAGCCCCCCTAAATTCGATTGACTTTTGTATTTTTGGGTTTATCAATCCATAATTCCCTAATATGTACCCCCTCTGTGAAGACATGACCCCATAATGTTAATAATGCTCTATCACAACCGTAATTTGTTCTGAGCTATAGCGATACTATATGTCGTGGCGAAAATGTAAACAAAGGTTGGAGCTTAGTTCAGGTGAAAGGTGCAAGTAAGCATCAAATGCATCTGGACATAGATACTTGCAAGCTTGTCTGTGGTCGTTATTGCTACTGGACGTAGGCCAGATAGGTAGGAGTAAGTAACCTTGTAGCCAGGATGGCTTACGTGATTCTGTGAGTTTCAGCTGTGTTGACAATATTAAAATGACTTCAAAATTACTGGTATAACTGTATTACACTAAATTAATAAGAACTGTTAAAAGAATTTTCCACTATGTATCAGCTTTTACTACTGTACATCAGCTCATATTACTGTATGTCAGCTTATATCACTGCATGTCAGCTTATATCTCTGCATGTCAGCTTATATCACTGCATGTCAGCTTATATCACTGTATGCCAGCTTATATCACTGTATGTCAGCTTATGTCTCTGTATGCCAGCTTACATCACTGTATGTTAGCTTATATCACTGTAAGCCAGCTTATATATCTGTATGTCAGCTTATATCACTGTATGTCAGCTTATATCACTGTATGTCAGCTTATATCACTGTATGTCAGCTTATATCACTGCATGTCAGCTTATATTACTGTCTGTCAGCTTATATCACTGCATGTCAGCTTAAATCACTATATGTCAGCTTATATCACTGCATGTCAGCTCATCACTTCATATCAGCTTATATCACTGTATCTCATCTTAAATCACTGTATGTCAGCTTAAATCACTGTATGTCAGATTAAATCACTGCATGTCAGCTAATATCTCTGTATGTCAGCGAAGCGTATTTTGAATGACACGGGTGTTACATTGAAAATGGTTCATATTATGATTCGAGCCCCAATCATGCTTATTTTACTGGTAATATGTATCAGGTTAGTTGTTATTGGGGCGAATCGATGGTTGATAGAATGACTAAGCTTTAAGCCCACAATGTGTTCTCTCTAAGTATAGGTTGAAACGTCCAGACTCTTGTCACCAAGACAACGGATAATTATGTATCATAACATTAATTCTGTTGACAAAGTGCATGTGGTCTCACGATCACTTTCAACTAGTGTAACTGAGAAGACCATTACCACCGGAATACACTGTGTACACACTTTGACTGAAGAAACACACAAATGAATCAAGCTTTCAGTCTCAGTACATTTAATCGGTAATGATGTCCTGTTTCTACAGGGGAAACTGACCCGTGAAGGTCCGGGTTAGAATGAACCTTCCGTAACCCATGCTTGTCGTCAAAGGCGACTAACGGGTTCGGGTGGTCAGGAGCTGACTTGGTTGACACATGTCATTGGTTCCCAATTGCGCAGATCGATGTTCACTTGATTGTCTGGTCCAGACTCGATGTTTTACAAACCGCCGCCATATAGCTGGAATACTGCTAAGTGTGGCGTAAAACTATACTCACTCACTCACTCACTACTGTGAAACTGCAAGGTATCACCTCCTGTATAAAATATTTGCTTCGCAATTTCACATGGGTCAGATGAGGGCGAAAATCGTTTTTCCGTCCTGTCTGTTTGTTTCCTGTTAACGTAGCCTTTTCCCACAAAATGTTAAATCATTTGCTTGTTACGAAGTGCTTTAGAGGAAGTTATCTTGGTATAAACGTATGTACACAAACTCCAAAGAAGCAAGAGTGAAATGCATGTATAAAACTAAACCACGGTGCTCTGAGTTGTACTAGTCGAGGTAATCCGCAACATGCGAGTTTGGATAAGCAAGACATGTGCACGACTATGCTTTGCATGCCCTTATGTGCTAATAGAATGGCAGGATACGCCCATATGTTTCTGGTATCATGACTGTTTCGGGGTGATTGATAACCACAGTCATATTGCACTAGGTGTATAGCTGAAATTGTAAATCGGGAGGACATTTTATGGAAGTTGAAAGGGTTTCTGTCGCATTCATTTACAAATAATAGTGAGCAATTGATTGGTAGTGGTTTCACTCCCCGTCACAAGGGAGCACTTCTGAAAGGCTTCCCCGGCACCCGAAGTAAACGGAAGTTTGCATTTCACGTTTCATCAGTAACATTGTAGAGCCTTGTGTAGCCAAATCGTCAAAAGTGCTGCCTCAGCTGTGACATTCTATGTCCCTGACGCTGGCTAGAATTCGTTTGTTGTAGTTCAAGTCCCGTATCTGCCCTGATTATGGTCGTAGTTTGTGGGAAGCATACCCAGGCTTATTTCCATATGACAATAGTCCATTAGTTTCATACACTGAAGATACTTAGTGTCAGTATGTGAGCTTAAACTTGACAAATATTTCCCTTTGCAATTCTATAAACTTGTGAGTGTTAAATACTGTTGGGTTATCGTTTGATTGAAACAGTCACTATTTCCTGTCCATAATTTCACATGTGCTAATATGCTAATATGCCATCTCTGTACAACACAGAATTAAATCTTTTTCATAATGTAATTTCAAGAGTTTTCCGCTGCAGTTTCAGTCGTCAGAATTTGTGTTAAATACCACACTGCTATACCCGTGATTCTGCAGTTGGTGTATGTAAGTATTACTTTTGTATCAATGATTTGGCGATTGTCTCATATATAGATATTTCAGATGCACTGACTCCCCGCCACACTTTTCTAAACACGTTCACGTCAAATATGGCGATGCATTTCATTATTCTCATAAATCAACAATGTCCTGGTCACTCGTTTCACACGCATATAGTAACACATTCCATTTACATAAACATCTTTTTGAATAATGAATTTTGAAAGAACCAGACAATCCAGTGACTGACATCAAGAGCATCGATCTACGTATTCGGGATACGATGCCATGTGTCTCCCAAGTAAGCAAGCCTGACCACCCGATCTTGTTCGACACCTCTTACTACAAGCATGTATTGCTGAAAACCAATTCTAATCCGTACCTTAACGGATACTACACACAAGTGCAGTACATTGGATATTGTACTGTGTACATTGTCTCTTCCCTGTTGTCATACAAAATGTACTTGTGCTGTATGTTCAACTTGGAAGGACATGAAACGCACATGAAGATAACAGATATACATAATTATCTGCAATACCTCTCTTCAAACGAATATATCATGAGTGTTCAGGGTCAAATGTTGTGCGATTAGAAGACGATACAATGTGTACATATTGACATATTGAAGCATTAACTTTTACATGCAGACTATGTGAGAGGTAGGTGCTCCCGGTAGAGCAGGTCACGTGGTTCCTTCTCACTAACACCCGGTGTCCCTTTTGCACTATTGACTTTTCTTTGCTAGTATGTGAACTTGGCGGATGAATAGTTCACAATGGATGACTTGTCTCTGAAGCACACAACACATCAGGATGAACATCAAGTTAATTTTGCAATATAAACGCTATTTGTTTCAGTCCTGTAGGTTGGTTGATCACATTGAGCCAAATGTAATGCTTTGCAGTCTCTAGTATATCAAATAAGTTTTCAAAAAAGGCAAACTATATCGCAACACCCCTTTTTTGTTGTGGATGCTACAATTAGATGCAAATGTAACGATCAACAATGACTAATTAAAACATTTCTATCTATTTCCGAGAGAACGGCTAGTGTGTGTGTTATGTGCATCGTGATATCAGGGTTGCCCATGTCTTTTCAAACCGGATAAATTTCTTATACATGTACTGGGAAACACAAACAAGGTTATTTTAATCACATCTGGTCAGAGAGAGTTTCTGGTCCATGTTTGTTGAATAGCAAGTTGTTTCCTGTCACATCATGGCGGCCTGCACATGCAGATCAAGGATTTTGAAACGATGTGTACACAGATGGTACACACTTGACAGAGGGGGAGAGCAGATCACATACACCTTAAAACGTTACTAAACATAGGTTTTAATTGATAAATCTAACATGGAGTCATTGTGAACATGTTGCGGACATGGTACACATAGAGCGCTGAGACTCCCTCTAAAGGGTTTCAATGTTATAACAAAAGACTCTCAGGATAAGAATGGACAATGAACAGCCGCTGCACGAATGTATGTGTGTGTGTGCGCGCGTGCGTGTGCGTGTGTGTGTGTGTGTGAAGATGCGTTTTTTACGTGCGAGTTTACATACGTGTGTTAGTTCCCATGCTTATGTATGTGCGCTGAGGAGAATGTGTGAATATGGGTGAATGTGAGTGCCTGTGTTTCCAGACCGGTGGTTGTGAATAAGTGATAATGAATCAGTGGTTCTGATGCCGGTTTTACAAGTTACATGTAAGTGTGAAAGAATGCTAATCTTTGTGAATACGTGCTGGAGTTCATGCAAGTGTTCATGCAAGTGAATGTATGCGTGTGCGTGAGCACATGCGCGCTTGTGTGTTTTTGCATGTGTGTGTACGTACATTCTATTGTGAGAATCCGTTTCTTATAATCCTTAACTTAAAAGCCGACAGACCTAATCTTCCCTGTACTACGCGCTGTACGAGATTTTGTGGTGCACGGCTATAAAGCAATGATTACCGTCACCGTCGATGCTCAAGCATTCAAGTTTAATCATATATTACAGTTGCTCTAAAGTCTTCAGAAGCCCTATACAGTTTAATGTCACCTATATATATATATATATATATATATATATATATTTCATGTCAGCACTGTTAATCTCATGTGAGATCTGAATATAACAGCGTGAATATGGGCGATACTGAAACACTTTTAGAGGGACGGATTTCATGTGTTTGATTCTGTTCTACTTGACGTGTCAGTTCATGTGGGGAGTCTGGTTCAGTTGCCAGTTCCGTAGTTGTTAGGTTCATACCTAACACAGGTTATGTTTGGGATTGCAAATTTCAAACGGCTTTGTGTGTTCATAGTTGTTAAGTTGTTGGTTCGATTTCGAAGTTCTACTATTAACATCATTGGTGTGTCGAGCGGTGGGGTAGCCTAGTGGTTAAAGCCTTCGCTCGTCACGCCGAAGATCCGGGTTCGATACACACATGGGTACAATGTGTGAAGCCCATTTCTGGTGTCACCCGTCGTGATATTACTGAAATATTGCCAAAAGTAGCGTAAAAGCTAACTAACTCACTCACTCACTCACTCACTCACTCATAGGTGTGTCGGAACCATGTAGGCACGCGTTGACCTGAGGTGGTGTTATAGGCCTGAAACATTTGTCAGTCTCTCCAGCACAGAACGGTGGATAAATAATCAGTGGTTTGTTATTACTGACCAAACGTTTGTTTGTTTCTTTGCTTGTTTGTATTGCCGAATTCAGCAATATTACAGGTATATGACGGTAGATAATCTAGTCTGGGCCACACTATCCAATGATTGATATTATGAGCATCGATCTATGCAGTTGGGATACGAAGACATGTGTCAACCAAGTCTGCGAGCCTGACCGATCCGATACCGGTATTCGCTTCTTACGACGATCATATGTTGCTAAAGACAAATTTCTAACCCGGATCTTCACGGGTCTACTGACAAAACGCTCGGAAATAGGATACAAGGGCAAGATTAGTAAACATTTCTTTGTCACCTAGGAAACAAAAGTGTGCTGATTGTCACCAACATCATTATGATTTGCTCATTGAATTAAAAGTTAGTTATTTATACTAGAGCTTAGTTAGGCGCGTTTTGTACAGCAGGTGCCCCATGCACAAATGGATGAATCCATTTCCAATGAACAGAGGACTGCAGTGGTGTGTGACGGAATGCACGTGGAGATCATGCCCTGCTATTTTAGGCAGTAAGCAAACACACAATCTTCTGGGACATGTTATAGAGTAACTGGTCACATCTGCATTGACGTAACTTGGGGTATTTCACGATTGTTAGTTAGATAGGAACCATGTATTGGTCATCTCTTGGTATTTTATCTTAACCTAATCGATATTTTAATGCTAGTATGTGTTTGTCTTCTCTGACCTATTCAAACCAACCACCAAAGTAGTGTTTTCGTGTACATGAATTAATCTGCCACAATATTTATTCCCACTCTGAAAAAAAACCTTCCCGTTTCTGAAATATTACGTCCTTGTCTTTGTCAGTAGGGCTATTTCTGATTCTGTGTGTTATTTCCTTTCCCCTCTTACTGGACGCGTGTTCAATCCACCTTGTTTTGATATTACATACAGCTACATACACAGTCTTGAAAACGACGTTTCCTGTTTACTGGGAGTTCACGTTCAGCTTTCAATACCTCTTGAAACATTTTGTAACTTTAGTTTTATATGTTTGATTGTAATTAACAGTCTTGGCTCTGCACTTGACTCAGCTGGAAACTAAACGAAACTAAAATAGAATGACAAAACAACTGCCCACAGTGTCTCAAGATCTTATGTGAAAGTCAAACAAGGATCCGCATCAGCGCATGTCCATATTGGTTCTTTCCAATATATGTGTAAAATATAAAGTCAAATACGAATTAGGGATGCGTTGTGTGCCACAACAGACTTTGACATAAGAAAATAGGACTAAGTATTTACATCTGTCCTTTGATACATTTACTTTGGTATTATTCTGATATCAAATACGTGATATGTAGTTACATGACTATGGCACTCACAGCAGCAGAACTCCTGACTCGTGGAATATGTCGATATTTTACACGACAGTGTAGCCTGATTTGAACTTTTATGCATTATGAAGTCTAAATTGAGATTAATTTCCCTATTTTGTTTTCGCATGTCCGCGTTGCTTTTTAGTTGAACGATATGTCATTATAATGATGAATATAGCATGTGAGTGATGAGTTTTGGTGATCCATTCATTACATGCTTCTTAGTGTTCACGGGAAGGATTTAGCTCCATTTGAAAAACTATAATGCTTTTCTACCTGAGGTAATGTTAATATACATGAACATGTTATGGAGAGAGAATATTGATGATCCCAATAGGTGCGGAGGACAAAGCCCAGTTGTTGACCTGATGTCATCACTGATTGAACTGTTATTGACTTAGCTATGTAAGCTGACTGAGGATGATAGTGTATTAGATGGGTATTCCTATATTGAACACGGAAGGTTAGATAGTAGAAAAATCACATAAGCGTTTCACGTTTGGATCAGTTTACAACTATGAATACACAATATGTTAAATGTAATATATGTTGTATTTTGGATTGCTCGTCCTTGGTACAGAATGCTGATACTTTCTGTTAAGTTGGATTCCATTCGGGATTCGAACCCACACTCTCACACCCACATCGAATCTTCAGCACACAAAGTCAGCAATATAGCACACTCTGCCACCGTTCTTCCACTACAAAGGAGGTCTGGCAACTGGTAGTCTACATCACGTTCAGTGTACTCCACTGACAAGTGTAAATTGGCACCACTCGCTCGGCCGGAAGGTATGGATAAACAACGCCATTTAGAAAGTGGTCCCTACTGACAAGTGTAAATTCGAATGGAACTCAACCTAACAAAAAGTACTAGAATTGCGAATTTCATTGAGAGAGTGTTATCCCTAATAAAACACGGCTTTTGAACATTCACCATCATTTTCATAATCTGTGTGGAGCATGAATACTCAAAAGTCTGAAACACTGATCTGGAGACGGAAATGTTTCTGAAGATCTTTTTTGTATATGTCAATTTGGCTTTAAAAAGGCTCATCCACGCAATTCATTTCACAGAGACGACGGTATGGGGCACTGGAGGTGGTGTACTTGGATTGGGTACATACATCTGCTGATTCTAGCTGGAGGTACGCAAGGTAAGTTTCAATAAGAGGAACATTTCGAATTAACAATCACTATATTTGATGTGAGGTGATAAAGACTTGAATGATATTGCGTCGAATATTTTTACTCAATATGGCGACGTGCCATGCCATATGTTATCGCATTCTCAAAACATGCACATTTGAAATAACCGGTATCAACAATGCCCCAGTCTTTCAATGTACATATGCCAAGCTTTGTAATGTAACAAGTGTACATAATAGCGTGGATGGGCCGGTGGTTATCGAGTCCTAGATTAACCTCTGGTATGCTCGGACTATGTTGTCACCATGCGTATGACCAGAAAACGCGTATCATAATTTCTTCCCCGGGATAAATAACAACAATGTTGTAAACGGGGTGAAAGGAAATAGCTCAGAGTGTTATATATCACAGTCGTTAACATTATCTGACTTAAGTCAGGAAAGCACAATACCATTTAGAAAGTGGTCAAATGTAGCATATTATATATTTGGGGTTACACTCTCTTAGATATTCTTGTACTTTTGTTGGGTTGAGTCCCATCCGGGATTCGAACCCACATCCTCAGAGTCAGGCACCTAATCGCCAGCACACAAAGTCAGATGCCTAACCTGCTCAGCCACTGCTGCTTCCACAAAAATGGAAGTCGGACAACTGTTGATTGAGAATTACAATTCTTGGTTTGGTGCAAGGAGAGGTATCAAGTGTTTAACGGTATCTTGTGTGTTTATTTATATATGTTTTTAGCGATTGTCTTCGTGTGTGAGAGGCTGTGTATACATGGATGCGCGCGTGTGTTTGTGTGTATCTGTGTGGTTACGTCAATGAGTCGCTCCAAATATAGAATCACAGTCAAAAGTTAGGTGCTGAGCTGGTTAGGCGCCTGACTTTGTGTGCTGGCGATTATGTGTCCGTGTTCTAATGCTGGATGGGACTCAACCCAACAAAAGTACTAAAATCTGTACTTCACTAAGAAAGCGTAATCCCAACTGTAACATACGTTACATTTGACCACTTTCTAAATGGCATGGTGTAATCATAGCCTACGACCGTGGGAGCCGTGCCAGTTTACACTTATCAGAGGGGTACACAAAGTCCGCAGTCTAGACTACCAGTTATCTGACCTCCATTTTTGTGGAAGTCGCGGTGGCTGATCGGGTTAGGCGGCAGACTTTGTGTGCTGGTGATTAGGTGCCTGACTCTGAGGGTATTGGTTCGAATCCCGGATGGGACTCAACCCAACAAAAGTACTAGAATCTGTACTTTACTAATTGGCATTGAGTCTCACACTACAGCTGCTGAGGTTCCTGGGTGTGGTCAGACGCTTGTCGTATTTGGTGAGTTGAAGGAATCAGAATGTTAATAGTTGTACTGGTAATACATAGATGAATTATGTTATGAACATCTATTGTGCAACAGTCAAAGAAGTAACACATGGAATATAAGACTGATATCGCTGCATTCCAGAATTGCTATATGTCTGATTCACAGACACTGTGCCACGGTAGTTTCCAGAGAAGGGTCATAAAGACAACTAAGTAAGCATATAATATGTTTTACTTTTGCTTTTTACTGAAGGAACTAAAAAGGTCTTACCATATCTAAACAACAAATTGTTAGACGATTTTCGCCAGTTTGTGGTTCTCTCATGCTCATTTTCCACTGATACTTTTGTGAGCCAACAAAGTACAAACTTGAGTTACACGAAGAATATTGTCACCAAAATATATCAACGTGTTTTCACGTGATTCCAGTTCATTTAGCCCTCGCACATTTGTATTCTTTCCAGACTGACGTCGAAACAGCATGATCGTAATATGACTGATATCAATGATCAATCATTGCTTCGAGTTTCGAAGGTTCCTAACTCTAGATACAGAGTGGAGGTATGCTGATTTAGTTCTGAAAACGCATGACGCTGATAAAGCGATAAACTGTGTCCTCCTTTACTTATGGTGGCTGAATAGGGTCATCGCTTTCTCGCCTTCAAATTCGGAGGCGAGAAAGCGAGAAAGCAATGTCACGAGACGAGAAAGCGATAACGCGAGACGAGGAAGCGATAACACGATATGAGAAAGCGATAGCACGAGACGAGAAAGTGATCGCACGAGACGAGAAAGCGATATCATTGTGCAAGAGAGCGATAGAGCGAGAAAGCGAGAAACCAATATAACAAGGCAAGAAAGCAATAGAGCAAGAAAGCGATAGAGCGAGAAAGCGAAACAACAGGGCGAGAAAGTGATAGAGGAAGAAAGCGATTGAGCCATAGAGTGAGAAAGTGATAGAGCGAGAAATCCTGAAAGCGAGAAAGCGAGAAAGCGAGAGAGCGATAGAGCGAAAGAGTGAGAAAGCGATATAGCGAGAGAGCGATATAGCGAGAAAGCGATATAGTGAGAAATCGATATAGCGAGAAAGCGAGAGAGTGAGAAAGCGAGAGACCGAGAAAGTGATATATCACATATTCTTGCCCTGTCTGCACATGACGTCTTTCCTGCGTACGATTTAATCCAACACATGGCTTTATCGACATTTGTTTCAGTCGTTAGGAAACAAAATGAACATGGATGCTTTAAATTCTGTTGCATTTTTGTAATTAATCCTTTAACTTGTCCAAACAATAAGCCAACAATAACTCCAGAAACCGAGTGTGTTTTCGTTGAAATAAATGAGTGCTTTTAAAAAGCCTGTAAAAAGGATAACAATCATTATTGTTACATCACTAATTAGGCCTGGATAAATTCCAGGCTTACATTTCTTTATTGTCATTTCCCTTGTTAAATGCCACCATTGTTATCTCATCATTCATGCCTGGATTAACAATCCCTGGCTTCCATTTTGTCCATCCACCCTACCAATTTAGCAATAATTAACAACTGGCTTCCCTTGTTATCTTTTCACTGTTGTTTCAAATGTACGTATATAGCTTTCTGTTTCCTAGTTTCTTCATGCACCTGATGAAGGAATAAGAATATACTCTGTAACATCGTGTTCCACAAATACAGAAGCTGACATCCATAAGTTCCTTTAGGTATTTTACCAGTAATGTTTTTTGGGGGGCTAAAGCTACATATTTGCCTACTCCCCATGTTACCCGTGAAGATCCGGGTTAGATTGGTCTTCAGCAACTCGTGCTTATCGTGAAAGGTGACTAACGGGATTGGGTGGTCAGGCTCGATGACTTGGTTGTCACATGTCATCGTAACCCAACTGCGTAGATCGATGTTCATGATGGTGATCACTTGCTTGTCTGGTCCAGACTCGATTATTGACAGACCACCGTCATATAGCTGGTACAGTGCCGAATGCGGTGTTAAACAATAAACCAAACCAACACCCCATGTGATTTAACGTTGCCAAAATCCTATATTGTATTCTCTCTCGACGTCGGACTTTATTGTATCAGTGATAGAATTTTATAAACCAAGTGCCTTTCATCTGGTCTTTTTAATGTGTGCATATTTCAAACATATATATTTCTACTTCTATGTGAAAAAGGTATTGTTCTAAATGTATGTGCCATAGTCTCTCATACTTCTACAAGAATGGCTTGTGTACATACGTATATGTCTGTCTGTCACCATATCCCAACTATCAACTTGAGACAGTGCCAAAATTCATCGACCGACGTGATAGGTGTTTTTAACAAACTCGTAATAAAATTATTACTTGGGGAATAAAGCACTATTTAAAAAAACACCTGTATAAATTTTGTTTAGATTGAGAGTTGAAAAGTTGGACGTGAGAGGGTTGGGAAGTTGATTGTGTATAAGTTCAACTAAGTAAGTAGTATAACGTATTTTGTGACTTATTGTGCAGAAAAGTTAAACTGTTGCTGATAAGCTAATAAGGAGTCTACTAAATAGATGAAAAGGGGTTAAAAGTTAAAAAGTAGGGCTTGGGAGGCAGGGTACAGTGTTTATGTTTTGGTTGTGAAACGTGCGGTGTGTGACCTTGACATTGTGAGTTAGTCTTGATAATCGAGCATACACTGTTCATTTTGTTTCTATATGACTAAAACAAATGGCGATAAAGCCTTTTGTTGGATTAAATCATACGCAGGCAAGACGTCATGTGCAGACAACTCAAGATTATTGGAAGTATCCCTTTCTCGCTCTATCGCTTTCTCTCTTTCTTGCTTTCTCACTTTCTCGCTTTATTGCTCTATCACTTTCTCGCTCTATAGTTTTCTCGCTCTATCGCTTTATCGCTCTCTCGCTCTATCGCTTTCTCACTATATCGCTTTCTCGCTGTCTTGCTTTCTTGCCCTATCGCTTCCTCGCTGTATCGCTTTCTCTCACAATGATATGGCTTTCTCGTCTCGTGATATCGCTTTCTCGTCTCGTGATATCGCTTTCTCGCCTCCGAATTTTAAGGCGAGAAAGCGATGGCCCTATTCAGCCACCATAGAATAGAACATACGATATCAGTAACCAAACTGTATGCATTAAAGTGAAAACAGAAATGTAGGCCCAGTTATTTTTCTGTCCATAGAGACTTTTGTAAATGGGCCCACATTTGGAAAAAAAATAGGTAAAATTAAATATCTTAGCATCTAAAAAATGTGTTGACTGTAATTAAGTAACGGAACGAAAAACGACCTCGCAAACAAAACTGTAGGCATCAAAGTAAACAGAAATGTGGGCCCACTTTTTAAAATTTGTTCATCGATATTTCGAGTGGGCCCACCTTTTAGAATTAGACTGGTTAAATATACTCGTCTTACCTTTTAAAAATTACATTTGAAAAACATTGTAAGTGATAAAAAACGAAGACATGCGTAAAGATTGTATTCATTCAAAACAAAAAGACGTTGCATTTTATTTTACCCAAACTTGTACAATGCCCAGAACAGCTGTCACTTGCTAAGTGACAGCAGTAGCAATTATATAAATCACCTAATGTGTTTCAGTTTTTCAGTGAAATCATTCACTTATCGTCAGTGATAAAAATGCAGCTTAATCGAAATTCTGTTTTAATTTAAAAGCAACAAAGAGTCAACCGTCTCTCATGATTAGATTATCATTATAATTGAGTGTTATTGCATTGATGTGAAATTTAACATATTTCACGCTAAAGCTGACTAGACTCATCACCAATAACTTGTTCGAGTGGCATTTTTTGAAGTTGAGACGTACAATATGGAACAAGTTTTTTATGGATAACAACTTCTTTATTTCGTGAGTGCAAGTGCAAGTAGAAATTTGGTGATTAGCATATGACGCCTATCGATGACATCAAATGTCAAACTCTCAACAAATGATGTGAACCGTTCCACGAAAGGAATACTTATGAATATTAATAACTTCATGACCAAGTTTCACGGCAGAAGTACTCATCTCGTTTGCGATTGTTTTACTGTGAAACTTAGGTTGTATTTATGAGTATTGATTTCGTCAGACATCTGTCACATCTTGTCGACAACGTTTCAAATGTTGTTTAGTTTCGAATGTGGGCCCACATTCGCATGTCTGACGTAGTGAGAGAGAGTAACCTCCCTTGAACCACGGATAATGGGGGGTTTGGGTTATTTTCCCATACTTAGGTATTTATATACACTTGCATCATTGTATTTATGGAGGTATATTGACTGTTGTGGATGATCTCGCCTTGATGAATACTACCAAACCAGGTGTCGTACAAGTCCCAAAGAACGTCGGTATCCCTCATAATTACATTGTGAAACGAGCGAAGAGTTACTGAACTATGGAGAATTCCTTTATTTCCAAACATGATAACACTTATCTTCCCCTTTCGACGGTTCAATCATATGGCAGTGGAGAAAGAATGATGTGACGAATCACCAAAACGAACCATTACATGTGTAGTTACATACGGGCGGTTATGTAACATTGTGGTTATAGCGATCGCTTGTGACCCTGAAGACATGTGTGAAGCCTATTTCCGGTGTCCCACTCCGCGATATTGCTAATGTAGTGCTTAAAGCGCCATAAAACTAAACTTACTCACTCACTCGTTGTCCTTACATAGATTTCTCTATTTACCAGAATATATCACACAGCTAGAAACTGCCATGTGTCCCATCGTGAAATGAAACTGCACCGCCTCAAGAGGTAATTCCCTTCTTCACCGGCTCATCTAGTCCCCTTAAGATCCAAACACTTACCAAGAGTTCACATAACGTTCAAAAATAAACAATTTCCACTATCTCCCAAGTCTGAATTTCATTTCAGTTCCATTTTTACTTGTGGTACATTTTGTCGCGTTTGTAAAACCAAAGGATGTAACCCCGAATGATGCTTAGGACGGATGACGTCGGTACTCGGGACTATATAGTCTGAGTGGATTGTTTTGTTATGATTCATGTAGCTGAAGTTATATTTGTATCAACAAACAGAACTACAATCCTAAGATGAACGGAAAGCTCGATGTGTACAGCATCTTGTTTACTTTATTCTTTCATACATGCTAAAAGAAACTTGGTGCCAATGCAATGACGTAAAGATGAGTCACTAATTCTGCAAGGATTCTGGAAACTAAAACAGTCAACCTGAATCTGTTCAGGTCATTAGTAACTCCATATTTTAAGCAAATGAATGTCAGATAGGGCGGTACATGTTTACCCTTTTTGTAAACACTGGGTGTCATCGGTGGTACACACTTACCCTTTTAGTAAACAGACCTGGTGTCATCACCGACTTTCATCAGTCCCATCATATTGCTTTTTCGGGACGTTTTCCCTTCACACGAAACAAAATCGGTTTCTGTGGAAAGTCAAAGCATGGTGTTGTTATGTACGGACATCATATATTCACATGAGATGGATGTTATTGTCGAAATCCAAATACAACCACTCAGTCTAGTCTTTACATAATATAACCCCAAACTGGAATATGGTACTTTTTAATAGTTTATTTAAATGACAAACAAGAGGTTTGTAGAAATATAAATAAAAGTAAAGTAATGAAGTCTACTATAATTGCTTGTACTGAAGTAAAATCACATTCGTGATTAAGTAAGTGCATGTTCCGATTCAGTGACAAAATTCAGAAAAGCTCAAAGGTATTTTCTCCATACTTTTTACAACAAGTTGTAAAGCCAGTGGTTTGAACATACTAAGTGCAATGTAGGAAGGAGAACCAAGTTCTATGGATACTCAACTTCTTTATTGCAATGCGTGCGACGTTTCAGAGTAGGTACTAACACCGTTATCAAGCAAGTTGTAATATGGAGAATATATACATGCCTGCATAACTGCAATTGACAAGGTTGATATCCATTGGATTACTAATTAGTGATTTGAGCAGAGTAGGTTGATGTACAGAGTGATAGTGATTAAAACAATATGCAGAATGAGTTTATACAATAGATCAGTTGATGTACGAAATCCAAATACATCCACTCAGTCTAGTCTTTACATAATATAACCCCAAACTGGAATATCCTTCTTTTTAATAGTTTATTTAAATGACAAACAAGAGGTTTGTAGAAATATAAATAAAAGTAAAGTAATGATGTCTACTATAATTGCTTGTACTGAAGTAAAATCACATTCGTGATTAAGTAAGTGCATGTTCCGATTCAGTGACAAAATTCAGAAAAGCTCAAAGGTATTTTCTCCATACTTCTTACAACAAGTTGTAAAGCCAGTGGTTTGAACATACTAAGTGCAATGTAGGAAGGAGAACCAAGTTCTATGGATACTCAACTTCTTTATTGCAATGCGTGCGACGTTTCAGAGTAGGTACTAACACCGTTATCAAGCAAGTTGTAATATGGAGAATATATACATGCCTGCATAACTGCAATTGACAAGGTTGATATCCATTGGATTACTAATTAGTGATTTGAGCAGAGTAGGTTGATGTACAGAGTGATAGTGATTAAAACAATATGCAGAATGAGTTTATACAATAGATCAGTTGATGTACGAAATCCAAATACATCCACTCAGTCTAGTCTTTACATAATATAACCCCAAACTGGAATATCCTTCTTTTTAATAGTTTATTTAAATGACAAACAAAAGGTTTGTAGAAATATAAATAAAAGTAAAGTAATGATGTCTACTATAATTGCTTGTACTGAAGTAAAATCACATTCGTGATTAAGTAAGTGCATGTTCCGATTCAGTGACAAAATTCAGAAAAGCTCAAAGGTATTTTCTCCATACTTCTTACAACAAGTTGTAAAGCCAGTGGTTTGAACATACTAAGTGCAATGTAGGAAGGAGAACCAAGTTCTATGGATACTCAACTTCTTTATTGCAATGCGTGCGACGTTTCAGAGTAGGTACTAACACCGTTATCAAGCAAGTTGTAATATGGAGAATATATACATGCCTGCATAACTGCAATTGACAAGGTTGATATCCATTGGATTACTAATTAGTGATTTGAGCAGAGTAGGTTGATGTACAGAGTGATAGTGATTAAAACAATATGCAGAATGAGTTTATACAATAGATGAGTTGATGTACACTGAGATGATAATGGTGAGTTGAAGAGGGTAGGTGGATGTACACATTGATTGGTTGTGATTACAATGCACAAAAGGGAGCATAGAAGCCAATTGGACGAGGTATGGGTGGATTACTGGTGATCTTGAATTAGGTGGTGATAGGCTGAGGAGATAAAATAACCTTGATCCCGGTTCATGGTGGGCTTGAAGCTTTTTCTGTCGTTTTATGAAGTTTCCTAATCTTGTAGTCTGATCGGTTAGTTTCTAGGATGTGGATGTTGTCCCAAAGTTGGGGATGAGTTGCTGGCCTTCTAAAATGCCTCTCAAAGAAGTGCAATGTAGGATGTTGATTAATACCCAACTTCCAAATACTAAAGAATATTCAAATACTAAAGAATAATGCAAGGCAAGGTCAGAAGTGTCAAGCTCTTATTTAACAATAGAACTGTGCATGTGTAATGGACAACCAAGATGTGTTTGTCCACGACACCTATTAAGTCATAGCTAAACTCACAATTTGTTATAACAGATTTCCAACAGCCGTACATCGCTGCACAAGACACAGCTCACGTGGACAGGGGTGTGAAGTTGTCCTGCTACAGTGTCTCCATGGTGCCTCCTTTACAAGACGCGTCCATAAATTGGAGGAGGAACGGTTTGCCGCTAGACGAAAGCTCTGTTTACAGCATAAAACAGAATCTAGATTGGATCCTGTGGCAGAAATGGCATATAGTACAGATCTACGAAAGTACCATCACTGTCAGTGACGTGAACACAGCGAAGGGAGATAACTTCCAGTGTCAGCTTGTAATAGGACCGAGAACGGTGTCAGGATGGAGTGAAGTGTATGTACTGGCTAAACAATGTAAGTGAACGATATTGAAATTCGGACATAAGAAGTATTAAATAATGTATTTAGCGTATCAGTTATAACTTGGATATGACAATTAAATATTTATGTTAAAACCGACCTGAATTGATCTGTCCTGTACTGTCACCACAAAGAGGAAAATGTAGAGTTGCCCTGAAATAGTTTGGTATTCATTGATAATTAAAGAATTTCGAATGTGTAACATTGTACTGATGTACAACATACAGACATGTCCATGTTTCACTGGAGCAAGGCAATGTAGATATATATGCTATACTTGTGTTATTTCAGCTGGGTCTGGTGAAGACTACACAGTAGTTCGTGAAGGACACAGTGCATTCATTACTTGGAAGATGCCGTTGGTTGATGAGGAGTTCTCTGTAAGGACACCTAAAGACACATTGCTCTTTAATATAAAGTCACCTTGGTTCTACATCTATAATCTCTACCGAACGAGAGCCAATATAATGCAGATAACAACGTCAGCTAATTCAGTCATCCTCCAGTTCTGGCTACACAATACAACACAAGAGGATGCGGGAAAATACCTCTGTTCCATTCCCAATTGTCATCACATGTTGTATATACAAGGTAGGTAAACTAGCACAAAAACATCACCAATGACGTATTTTTAAGTGATATAACACGTTGAAACTTTTTTTAGTGTCATCTCAATGATAAAGCAATTCGTTTAAGTCACTATCCAAGTTCTTGCTGAAAATCTCTGTGCTCCTGTACAGCAGTCGTTATGAGAGGTTGTCTGACAGGACTTTCCGGTCCATCAATCACTTAATTGTCTGGTTTGTCTTGGCATGGCTATAGTATTGATGTCAGGCAAACATAGATCCAGTTTAGGCATATCTTATGAATGGCGGCTGCTACTGGTAGGGCAGGACATGCTTACACTATTGTGAACACCTGGTGTCATCACTGATTTTCAGGGATCCGTTCATACAACTGTTGCAGCTATTTTCCTTTTACACTAAACTGAATGTATTTCTGAGGGTAGGCAGGACACGCTATTTATTTGACGTTATGATCGCATTGAGCAATTTAATTTGATATTATGTTTTATTAAGGAAAACCCACTCACCCAAACATCAGCGTCGTTGTCAACACCAACAACATCGTTTTGACATGCAAGACCAAGTCTTCCATTGTACCCGTGGACCATGATCTTAGAATGATATACACGTGGAGGAGAAACGGACAAGAGGTTGAAGTTGGTGGGAGTTTCCACGCTTCAGGACAAACCCTGGCTGTGACTGATGTGAAGAAAGAGGACCTGGGAAACTACTCATGTCAATCTACAGAGGAAGGTCTAGCATCCAACTGGAGTGATACAGTTGATCTCCACATGCTAGCAAGTAAGTGCTGAAAGCAAGGACTAGGCAGGTGAATCATAGAGCTGGCTTGAAGCTGATATCACAAATGTTCCATTATGTCTTCATCAACATGCAGACCTTCAATGGCAAATATATTATATTCAGTTATATCATGGTGACAATGCTAATCAATGAATTCAGTATAATAGCAATTCAGTTCAATATGAACTGGCTCAAAGAATACCTTGTGAGAGACGATACAAGTATCTTGAGGTGAGGCAACCCAGTGCAAGTAGACAAGTATACGTGTACGTTGTTATCGGGTAGTTCAATTAAAGTGCACAAAGTCATATGAGCCTTGTTTAAGATATACTTATGGGAACAAGTAACTATGCTTGATATGTAAGGTTCATTGGAAATAGCTTAATTCTGAAATGGAAAAATGTATCTCTCAATAATATGCATGACGGCTACACTACTTAAGTTGTTATTTATAATTCCAACCTGCAATTTAAATAATGTGAACAGCACATAATCCTTGTTAGCTACCATGGTCTGGCAATGGCATTCTGTTTAACTGTAATGCCACATCGTGTTATAAATAAACCTCCACACGTCGTGGGTATCATCGTGAACAAGTCACATTGTCCAGCTCTGAAGTGGATTTACAATCTGGGTGCCGTTGTACAAAACGATCTTAGCGCTAACGTGACCGCAGTTCCCATACCTTAACATAGCCTTAAGGTAGCATTAGCGCTAAGGTTGTTTTGTACAACGGCACCCAGGATTGTATGCATGATGAAATAAATGAGTGCTTTCAAAAAGCCTGTAAAAAGGATAACAATCATTATTGTTACATCACTAATTAGGCCTGGATAAATTCCAGGCTTACATTTCTTTATTGTCATTTCCCTTGTTAAATGCCACCATTGTTATCTCATCATCCATGCCTGGATTAACAATCCCTGGCTTCCATTTTGTCCATCCTCCCTACCAATTTAGCAATAATTAACCACCCGCTTCCCTTGTTATCTTATCACTGTTGTTTCAAATGTACGTATGTAGCTTTCTGTTTCCTTGTTTCTTCATTCACCTGATGAAACAATAAGAATATACTCTGTAACATCGTGTTCCACAAATACAGAAGTTGACATCCATAAATTCCTTTAGGTAGTTTACCAGTAATGTTTTTTCTTGGGTTAAAGCTACATATTTGCCTACTCCCCATGTTACCCGTGAAGATCCGGGTTAGATTGGTCTTCAGAAACTCATGCTTGTCGTAGTAAGGGATAACAATGAAGGCGGCCGGTCGGCACACAAAACATTCATCACGACGACTGCACAGGACAGAAGACAAGACGAGACTGATGCACACATTGTTCTAATTGTATGTGCCATAGTCTCCCATGCTTCTACAAGAATGGCTTGTGTACATACGTATATGTCTGTCTGTCCCCATATCCCAACTATCGACTTGAGATTGTGCCACAATTCATCAACCGACGTGGTAGGTGTGTTTAACAAAAACGTAATAAAATTATTATTTGGGGAATAAAGCACTATACTCTGTAACATCGTGTTCCACAAATACAGAAGTTGACATCCATAAATTCCTTTAGGTAGTTTACCAGTAATGTTTTTTCTTGGGTTAAAGCTACATATTTACCTACTCCCCATGTTACCCGTGAAGATCCGGGTTAGATTGGTCTTCAGCAACTCGTGCTTGTCGTAAAAGGTGTGTAACGGGATCGGGTGGTCAGGCTCGCTGACTTGGTTGACAATGTCATCGTAACCCAACAACGTAGATCAATGTTCATGATGTTGATCACTGGCTTGTCTGGTCCAGACTCGATTATTGACAGACCGCCGTCATGTAGCTGGTACAGTGCCAAGTGCGGTGTTAAACAATAAACCAAACCAACTCCCCATGTGATTTAACGTTGCCAAAATCCTATATTGTATTCTCTCTCGACGTCGGACTTCATTGTATCAGTGATAGAATTTTATACACCCCGTGCCTTTCATGTGGTCTTCTTATGTGTGCATATTTCACACATATATTTCTACTACTATGTGAAAAAGGTATTGTTCTAAATGTATGTGCAATCGTCTCCCATACTTCTACAAGAATGGCTTGTGTACATACGTATATGTCTGTCTGTCCCCACATCCCAACTATCGACTTGAGACAGTGCCACAATTCATCAACCGACGTGGTAGCTGTGTTTAACAAAAACGTAATAAAATTATTACTTGGGGAATAAAGCACTATATCATAAAACACCTGTATAAATTTAGTTTAGATTGGGAGTTGAGAAGTTGGACGTAAGAGGGTTGGGAAGTTGATTGTGTATAAGTTCAACTAAGTAAGTAGTGTAAAGTAGTTTGTGACTTGTTGTGCAGAACAGTTAAACTGTTGCTGATAAGCTAATAAAGAGTCTACTAAATAGATGGAAAGGGGTTAAATGTTAACAAGTAGGGCTGGGGAGGCAGGGAACGGTGTTCATGTTTTGGTTGTGAAAAGTGCGGTGTGTGAGTGACCTTGACATTGTGAGTTAGTCTGGATAATCGAGCATACACTGTAATGTGGCTGGATAGGGATGTTGTAAAGGGTTTATTCTGAATTTGAGGGTGCTTTTTAGTTTGGTGTTTTGTCAGGTAGTTTAGAGTAATTTGCTTTCTTCTAGTAACTACTAGGTAACTACTGCCCGAAAAAGCAATATGATGGGACTAATGAAGGTGGTGATGACACCAGGTCTTTTTACTAAAAGGGTAAGTGTGTACCACCGATGACAACCCGGTGTAAACTAAAAAGGTAAACATGTACCGCCCTATCTGTAGCATCGGACATTCATTCATTGCGTAAAAGATGAAGATACTAATGAACTAAACAGATTCAGGTTGACTGTTTTAGTTTCCAGAATCCTGGGAGACTTGCATTGGCGTCCTTGCTTTGGCTCCAAGTTTCTTTTAGCATGTATGGAAGAATAAAGTAAACAAGATGCTGTACACATTGACCTTTCCTTTCATCTTAGGATTGTAGTTATATTTGTTGATACAAACATAACTTCAGCTACATGAATTATAACAATTCAGACTATATTGTCCTGAGTACCGACGTCATCCATCCCAAGCATCATTCGGGGTTACGTCCCTTGGATTTACAAATGCGACAAAATGTACCACAAGTAATAATGGAACTGAAATGAAATTCAGACTTGGGTGATAGTGGAAATAGTATGAACGTTATGTGAACTGTTGGTAAGTGTTTGGATCTTAAGGGGACTGGATGAGCCGGTGAAGAAGGAAATTACCTCTTGAGGCGATGCAGTTTCATTTCACGATGGGACACACGGCAGTTTCTAGCTGTGTGATATATTTTGGTAAATAGAGCAAACTATGTAACGACAACGAGTGAGTGAGTTTGGTTTTATGGCGCTTTTAGCAATATCGCGACGTGGGACACCGGATATGTCCTCAGGTCACGAGCGAACGCTATAACCACAATGTTATATCACCGCCCATTTGTAACTACACATGTAATGGTTCGTTTTGGTGATTCGTCACATAATTCTTTCCCCATAGTTCAGTAACTCTCCACTCGTTTGACACTGTAATTATGAGGGATACCGACGTTCTTTTGGACTTGAACGACACCTGGTTTGGTAGTGTTCATCAAGGCGAGATCATCCACAACAGTCAATATACCTCCATAAATACAAGGATGCAAGTGTATTTAAATACCTAAGTAAGTGAAAATAACCCAAACCCACCCCCAACCCCCACAAGATTGCTCACTGAGTCCTGTACACAGTACCAACTGGAAATAATGCAAAACATACGAAATCAGTGGCATCTTTCAAGCCGTACCCACTCTATTATGCGAAACCCAATTATCCGTGGTTCAAGGGAGTTTACTCGCTCTCACTACATCGGACATGCGAATGTGGGCCCACATTCGAAACTAAACAACATTTGAAACGTTGTCGACAAGATATGACAGATATCAATATTCCCGGCTTACATTTCTTTATTGTCATTTCCCTTGTTAAATGCAACCATTGTTATCTCATCATTCATGCCTGGATTAACAATCCCTGGCTTCCATTTGTCCACCCACCCTACCAATTTAGCAATAATTAACAACAGGCTTCCCCTGTTATCTTATCACTGTTGTTTCAAATGTAGGTATATAACTTTCTGTTTCCTAGTTTCTTCATTCACCTTGGACTAAAGCTACATATTTGCCTACTCCCCATGTTACCCGTGAAGAT